ATCACCATCCTGAGACACCTATTCAGTTATCACCATCCTGAGACACCTATTCAGTTATCACCATTCTGAGGCACCTATTCAGTTATCACCATCCCCAGACGCCTATTCCGTTATCACCATCTTGAGACACCTATTCAGTTATCACCATCCTGAATCTGGTGTGAATTGACTTTTCCATTGATTATTAGGGCAGATAAAATAACACTGTTTTATAATAGCATTAGTAGTGATAGAATACTACTGCATACAGAACCGGCTATAAAAAGCATGTTATGCATCTTTGAATTGAATTGAGATCTGAAGATTATGAGGTAAATGTGGTACATTTGTAGATTGGCGTTCAAAGAGAGCGCTAAGAGGCCCGATGCAACTATTTTGTCTATCAACAACCAATGATATAAAATATCAGACACCAGATATAATTTACACCTGTGAATGGGAGCGATCGCATGAGTCTCATGAATTACTTAAAAACTGTCTGTGAGCATCTGCAGGCGGTGGTACCGGTCATGGTATTATACTGCGCCCCCGACCTGCAGGAGATCCCGCAGGAATTCATGAGAGTCATGCGATTGGACCAATCTGCAGTGCGATTGGGGCCTTAATACCTGCCCTCACTACCACTTGTGATACTTTATCATGTTTCAGAGCTTGAATTTTTCTAGTGATTTGTGTTTATTATGCCAGTCTCTGATATACAGTAGCTATGAATTAGACCACAGAATTAAAAATAATCTAGTTTAAATGTCTCTTCATCTATAATATGAATGCATTTTGCAGTTGTAAGACATTAGTGGATCAGATCAGGCCAGAGCCCACCAAGAGATGCTCTGGTAGATGTCACCACTAATCTTTATAATGTTTCAGTTTATTGAGAAGCCTGAATGAAAGTTATGAGCTAATGTGAGCCATTATAAACTATTTATTCCAAGAAGGTTAGATTAAATTTGTGCCTGTTGATATCACAATCAGAATTAACCAGATTGCTCTAGTTTAGTGTATATTTTAGTATACTGTATATGCCATTTTACATTCTTCCATGGAATATCAAGGTGATTTTACATAGCCTGGTCTAACACTGTACCTTAAAACATACAAATATCCCACCCTACCAGCCTAAGCAAAGGAACTAGACAAGGGTGCCCCTTATCCCCACTACTGTTTAATGTGGCGTTAGAGCCGTTGGCCAGATATGTCCTACAAAACGGACACGATACAGGGCATTCCGATTGGCAAGGAGGAACTCCGAATTTCCCTCTTTGCTGACGATATACTGTTGTTCACCTCCCGGCCCAGGGAAGATGTGCTGACCATTCAGAACCTTTTTGACACGTTTAGTGCCTTCTCTGGGTTTCGCATCAACTATTCTAAGAGCGAGATATTGCCCTTAGCAGGACTGTCCTCCTCCACGTGGGACAACCCATCGGATCTTGCGGTGGCACGCCAGGACATCACCTACCTGGGAATCAAAGTAGGTAAACTGCCATCAACGCTGTATAATCTGAATTTTTCTCCCCTTATAGACAGGATAATACGGGAGTTAGAGTGCTGGAAGGGCTTACCCCTCTCGCTGTTCGGGAGAATCCATCTGGTAAAAATGACGAGCTTTGCGAGACTATTATACCCGCTACAGACGGTTCCACTATTATTGAAGCATAAGGATATTCAACGTCTCAACAAGGCGATGGTTCAATTAATATGGTGCCATAAACGCCCGAGGGTTGCTTTGAAAAAGCTTTGGCTCCCGAGAAGCGAGGGGGGATCGAACTTCCCTAATGTTAGGTTGTATAACTTGGCATGTATACTACGCCATGCTGCGGACTGGCTTACCAAAAAGTTCGAGGTACTCTAATTTTGAAATAGAAGCGGCCCTGGTACGCCCATGGGACCTGCGAGCCATACTGCATTGTAAATTGTCAAAGTTGCCAGGATCACTGGGCCGTCACCTGTTAATCAGGGACACGATCTTAGCCTGGAAGGTGGTTAGACGCCGATTGGGTCTATCGCCCTATCTATCGGCGATGTGCCTGTTGCTTGGGAATCCCATGTTCCCGCAGGGCGCCGACTATGCTGCTTATAAGTCATGGCACAGAAAGGGGCTTACTCTCTGGAAACAACTGTTCCAATGTGGTACCTTCCAACCTATACCTTTCCCGGCAATGGCACAGCAGTATTCATTGCCATCTTCTCATTTCTTGTATTATTTACAGGTCGACAAAACCTGGCGAATGTTCTCCAGGGACCCCAAAAAACTCTTTGCCACTACGTTTCTTGACACCCTCATATCAGGGGGGAGATACTCTATCTCAGATATATACCAAGGGCTGCAACTAACATATATGGCCAACTTGTCCTCCTCCAATGTTAAGGAATGGTCCAAGGACTTCCCAACACCGGACTTGGTGGAGCACATAGTGGAGGGCTACAACTTGATACGCAAACTGGTAACCAACAAAACTTGGAGGGAGACCCAGTTTAAAATAATTAATCGGGCCTACGTGGCATACTTCCGCCTGGTTGGAGCGACGGCGCAGCAACTACTATCACTATGCCCAAAGTGTGGACTCTCCCGCCCCTCGCTTGCTCATTGTTTCTGGAAGTGCCCTTCAATGGTACAGTTCTGGACTGGGATTACCACATATATCGCAAAAGTCCTAAAGTGGACCCCGCAACTGAACCCACTACTGTACCTATTCAGCGTTCCCGAATACTCAGGGGTGGAACCTCAATGCACCACTCTTAGGGGTAGAGACTGGCTACACATTTGTCTATTGGCTGCTCGAAGATGCATAATGAGAGCGTGAAACACATCTTCCACACCGCCAATCTCCAGTGTCATTGCGGAGCTGAAAATCTTGTTCCTAAGGGAAAAGCTGGAAACTGAAATGCACGTAGATGCACTCGCTGCAAAATTCTTCAAACGATGGAAACAATTCCTGACAGCAACATATGAGAGCGCAGAATTGGAGTCAATCATGCAACCCTTTAAGTACTCTGACTGGTATCTCAAAGCCAAACTGGCAAATGTCTTAGGGGTCCTGGAGGTGTCCTGAAGCAATTGGTGCAGTAGCCTATGATTATGATTAGGAATTAACAGTAATATCTCTAGAAGTAATCGCCTTTTATAGTGTATACAATGAATACAGTCAAAGTGGCAACAAGCTTGGGAATGTTGGAATGTTGAAATGTTAAAAGTTGGAATGGTTACAATTGTTATTTCTGGTACAAGTGAGAAGGTTGCTGTACGTGATCTCAACCTGTGTGGATTATATGTCATGTAACATGGGACGGGTATGCCCCTTTGGGGTATAACCGTGAAAACAGAATACAATTTTGTTTAAAAAAAAACATACAAATATACATATACAAGGCCCTGCTACTGTTACAGATTTTTTGTATGACAGTGTTTGCAAGTACTTGTTCTATGCTGTGTATCAGCTCTTTGATGGAGAAACATGATTTTACACAGATCATTATTGTTTCACAGTAACTATCTAGAATACCAGCAATATACAGTCTTCCTGAGTTCAAGGAAGATAAGACCAATGCTGTGCTATCTACATTTGGAGTATGTAAATGTAAACACTACCTCCTTATATATAGCATATAGAGTCTTTCTTCTGATTCTTAAAAAGATGGATTTCTAGGCAGTTTGGCCTTAAATGTGACAGGCCTCAATGAACACATGACTGTCCAGAGTAAGGGATCAAAGTATACCTGAAGTCACCTTTTGTTTGTTTTGGATAGAGCAGGGAATGGATTCCATGGGCCCTGTTTCCTTCCGATTTGGGTGGGAATGCACCCTAAAGGGGTTTGCACTGATAATTCTTAGTTGATAGTTATTGCACTGTGATAATATTGAGTAGGGGTTGTACAATAGATTCCTCCACTGACCTGCTACTAAACTAGCACTCAGAAATGTTATGTCCTTTCTGTTCAAACCATCATCCTCACAAAAGGAACACTTTGTTTTACAGCACTACCAGGTCCTTGTACTGCTGGGCCTTTGACCCAGAAATGTAGCACAACATTTGCCTTTCCACTTGAAAAAAACTATCCATCTTTAGAAACCCTCAATGCTGCCACTGGGTTTCTAGGGGTGGAAGATGGAAAAGATGGAAAATGCTTTTAACCACCTTCCGTCCACGGCCGTTTGTGAACGGCCGGACGGAAGTCTGCTAGGAGCAGGAGGGCGTCTGAGTGCCGCACACGAGAGGGAAAACTGTGAGCATGTAAACATCAGGCGATCAGGCGTCTCTAGTGTGTGCCCCCCACTGTTATAATGTGTTTTCACTAACAGTAATAAGTAGAATTCTCTTACTGATAGCCTTAGAAATGTAGAAATATGTTATTATACACTGACTGAGGACAAATACTTCATGTGAGAAGATGTTCACATTTACTAATTTTGCTTTCTATCTCTCTTTTACCTACACAGGGAAGGACGCAAAATCATCCGTGAGTACTTTTTATGTAACGTACCTAGAAGGTGTTCTGTGTTACTCAGTCACTGAATTTAATTCAGATCGTTTCATTCAAATTGACATCATTATGAATACATCTAAAGCTGGCTATACACTAATTTAATTTCTTCCAAGTTCAACCAGCGTGTGACCCTGTTGGGAACCCTCTCTCGGTGACTAAAGTTCATTTTTCAAGTAATTTTTGTCAACGGAACCAGTCCAAAATTTCTCGGCAATACAGTGACCGCAGCCAATCAGCTACAGGAGTATTCCTCAGGGCTGAACAAGAAAAAACCGCCAGTACATGACCTGCTTTACTGAACTTGTTAGTTACTGTTTATAGACTGATCATATAGGCAAATTGTATTGTACACTTGAATAATATTGGGGATCTAAAATAACTGACTATCTGGCACTTACAGAGGGATGATGCTATGATATTCTGACTGTTAACACTGAAATAACTTTTTGAAGATGTTATTGCAGCAACCATAGTTAAGCTTTCTCTCTTCTTCTGCTCCAGCCGGGTTGCTTTGGCTATCCACTAAGTATCTTCTTTATTGTCATCAATGAGTTCTGTGAACGGTTCTCCTACTATGGAATGCGAGGTAAGTTATTTTATATCATTAGATCGATTGACTCATTTGTATTGTATGTATGTTAGCTTTTAATTGTAGCTGGAGCATTCTGGTAAGGAAAGTATGTAGAGTGGGGAAATGGGCGCTTTTAACGGATCCTATCACTTTGACCTGAATAGGATACTTTGGTAAAGTCAATAAAATACAGAGTTAATATTGGAATAGTGTGGTCATGTAATCTATATCTTCCTTGTAGCGGTGTTGGTACTTTATTTCAAATACTTTCTACGATGGGACGATAACCTCGCCACTGTGGTTTATCATACCTTTGTTGCCGTGTGCTACCTGACCCCCATCCTTGGTGCCATCGTTGCTGACTCTTGGTTGGGAAAATTCAAGTAAGTACTTACGTAATGATAGGAATAGTCCTAATTCAGTTTATTTATTATACCTAAATAGATTAGTTATATTTTGAAGCTTTTTTTATTAATAGAAAAATACAATATATTAAGCCTTTATTTGCATAGATGAACAAATAACTACCCAACTATTGGGTATTACAATACAAGATGTATTGTAATATATGAATCTTATATTTATGCATATGTTTTCTTTACATATAGGACCATTATCTACCTGTCCATTGTTTACACTGTAGGGCAGGTCGTTATGTCTGTGAGTGCCATTCATGATCTAACTGATGGCAACAGAGATGGAGATCCAGACATCTTATCTGTACATGTGTAAGTCATTTAAAACATTCAACCTTTCTTAGTATTAATAAAAATGTTATGTTCATTGTGTTGAAGAAAAGTACTGAGCTTCATTTTCAGTCATGGTGTTGACTGTTGCCCAGTTGTTAAATGCTGGTCTGGCTAAACAAATGGACAACTGGTGCCACCAAGTGAGAGCTAGATGCCAAGATAATGAGAATGTTTCTTGTAGTGACAAATATATATAGATATCTGTAGATATATATAGATATCTATAGATATATATGTATATATCTTCTTTCTTTGTATACTTTAGGAAAATGTTGTCAACCATGTGAATATTACCTTTCATTTATCTTGGACTTTTTGTGGTACACAGCGCAATAACAAAGCTACGTGCTGCTAGTGTGAGCCCTATAGTATAAGAAAGTGGACTTTCCAAGGTCTATGTCCAGGGTTTACAATCACAGTCAATGAGAAATTAAAAGAGCATTAAAAGACTATTCAACTAAACGTGGATTTAGTTAAAAAAATGTGTGAATCTTGAGTGAAAACATTTATAAATAAAACACAAGCTGCTCAAACTGTAATTCAAGGCCCTGTACTGATAGGCAACATTGCTAAGCACTGTGCCTTTTATGTGATACAGCTATCAATTATTTTATCAAGATAGTCCTCATGTTTTTATTTTTGAATATTCATTTAATGCATTGGAGGACAAGTAAGTCTGACCAAGTATTGATTTATATACATAACAAGCAGTGAACACATAGTACTGTGATAAATTTACCATGTGTGAAAGCATTTTCAATGCATGTTGTATTTACACAAGGAAATGTATAGGCCTATTGTATAACTGGACAAAACAATGACATAATTTTTTCTGTAGTGCACTATCAATGATTGGCCTCATCCTTATTGCTTTTGGCACTGGAGGAATTAAACCCTGTGTGGCAGCCTTTGGAGGAGACCAGTTTGACGAAAGCCAAGTATGTGAACACTACTGAAAATTCATATTAAGCATTTAGCAAGTAGAACCCTGTATTCAGGTTTTCATTTGAGTATAGAAATTATATAAATGGCTGGAAATGGGAAATAATTTTGGTTAAAAAAAGTCACGTAACATATACTGTAGCTACAGTGTATATCAGGGGTAGTGAATTAAAATTCAAGAAGGTCTGGTGACCAAAATATTCTTCAAGCTGTAGCCTGAGTAGCTGTGGCCTGGACAGAACTGTCACTTAGTCTGTTACTGCGGTTCACCATTTCGGCTGAATACACACCAACTGCAACTGCACTACAACCCACAGCTGCCGGTATGTTTTCCCAGACACAGTATTGATGCATCCAACCCTGGCGCATAACAATGTTTTAAATTTTTTTGTTACAACTTTATTGAAATGTCACAAATTACATTTAATTAAGTTGTATAGGCAAGCGCAGTGTGAAGTGGTTGTGCAACTTTGCTTCACTGCCTACACATGGCCAGAGCCTTTCTGCCACTGTTATGAGGAAAGAACACTATCTCAATGATACACTGGGTGAGACCCACAAACATTTACCCTCCCATCTGAGTGACTCCACACTCCACAGTGGATCCCTTTATTTTTTTCTTCGGGGAAAAGACTGATGACCTGTGTGCGGTCTGAGATGGGGGGAAGAGGCGAGAAAAGTGACTTTGTGCCCACAAGAAGGGAAATATGTCTTGTTGTATGAGACTTGCAATCAAAAAAGTATAAATATAAAATGCTCTGCATGCTTGATACATTTTAAAACATATTAAATACAAAACAGGATGCGTTTCTTTTGGCAGGATAAGCAGAGAAGCCGCTTCTTTTCCATCTTCTATTTGTCAATTAATGCTGGAAGTCTTTTGTCGACCATTATAACTCCTATTCTCCGAGGTATATTTATAAATCTATAGCACACAGTGTTTTGTCAGTGATTGCAATAGGCAGAACAGGATGTTAAAAATAGACAAGGAATGCTATATTATGATATGAGGCAGTACACACCTACAGTATGTACCTAAATGTAAATTGCGTAATAGCACAAAACAGTTACTACAAGGGTAAAAAGACAAAACATTTTATAAACTTTTTTACGTAAAAAGCTTACAAACAGGAGTTTGAATGGACAGAACCTCTAAACCAAGCTTCCTGAAAGCAAACCTGTAGTGTCCTTGCCTCTTCTGAACCTTCACATGTATTAGAGGCACCTCTTAGTGTAATCAAGGCTACTCTGTTACCAGGACCGGATTTATTCTCCCTGCTGCCCCAAGGCCAGGTTCCGCAATGAACCCCCCTCCCCGCCCCCCATCAACGGAGAATGGCAACCGGATGGCAGAGGCGGCAGGGTTCTTTTTATATTTTATAGCACAGCACTCTGCTGGAACTCCTGTGATAGGTGTGAGGGGAAGACTGCTCTCCCCTCTCACTGTATACACGAGCGGCAGGGTTAGTTTTAACCCTGCCGCTCTGCTCCCCTCTCTCCATCCTGAAGAAGTTGGCGGCCAGCGAGGAGAGAACGGAGCTGGGAGACAGAGCCAGCATGGAGAGAGGTAGGTGCGGGTGGGGGGAGGACGGGCCGGCTGCAGTCTTATTACAAGTGATCTTGGCGACATCGCAAAGATCACTTGTAAACAAACAAGCGGCTTCCCCGTTCTACATTTAGCCCGGGCTTGTGAAAAGCAGGGCTAAACGTAGAAAACAAATTACCGCACGGAACTCCATGTTCCAGGCGTCAGGTGACTTCAAACCTGTGCCGCCCTGAGGCCGACCTCGGTGGCCTTGTCGGGAATCCGGCCCTGTTTGTTACACAAATTCTATGCAGAACTTGTTAAGCTCTGGCCTGTCCCTCTTGGTTAGCGAATATTATCGGTTGTCCCACTAAACAACAAGGGGATGTGGGTGTCAGGAGAGAGTGAGACACGCCCGCACCTTTCTAGACTATGGTCAGAAATTGCAGAATAGAGTCCCCCCAGGTTTTCTAGGTTTTCGGGGGTTCTCTGGAAATACAATTAAGCTGCATGCAGCAAACTGAAAGTGTTTGCGGCTGAGTGGAAATTAATAGAAGTAACTACAGATGCACTTTAAAATATATTGAGAAAAAATTAAAACAGTATTTCATATATGTTTTATTCATCATAAAATAACTTTTAATAAACTTTCAAAAACAGCTGATGTTGTACCTTTAAATTATTAATTTTAAACTGTTTTATTGAACACTGCATTGAATTACTGCAACATCTAGCTGCATCGGTGACTATATACTGTATAGAGATTGTATCAGTCACTACAAAATACAAAGAAACTATTTTTAGCTACCTTTTTTAGGTTTCATGCTTTCTGGCCAATTGAGTACCATCTTTTGTTGTACTTCTTTCTCTACAATTGATGTGTACACTACAAAAGCACCGGGGCCCACCTTATACTGCCCTCACAATAACACATACTGTATATTTCATTACAGCAAAGCAGAACATACCAAGTGAAAGCGCTGGCAGTATGTCAGCCATCAAAGTGGTGCTGGGAATTTATAGGCAATCCAGGAATTCTTCTCCATGTGCCCCCTGCACTTGGTCACATGATCTGGTGCCACGTGTCATGTAATTTAAGTACAGGGGATAGATGTGGCAGCACCTATGCATTGACCTTTATGTTCCCTGTACAGTTCTGCAATGGATAATGTTCCTGCAATGCCTCCACTTGTTCTGCTTTGTTTAAATAAAAAAGGTGACATCACAATGACCTAAAGAACCAAGCCCATTCAGGCTACAGGAACTACCTTTCTTTTTGAAAACAGGCTAGATACCAGCAGGTTAAAGGATCAACACCTTTTGGGGCTCAGGATCTAGCTTACATTGTGTAAATAGGATAGCTCCTTTTGGGTCTGGTTCAGCCCACTGGAATCCAGCCTATAACTAATAAAGGTGTAGCACAACAGAGGTTTTTATTTTTAATAATATTTTTTATATATTTTTTTAATAATAATTTTAAAAATGTCAAATGCTGCAGGGTATTTAGGAAGTATGTCAGTGGCCCTGTCTTACCAAAAATACTTTTGGAAGCAAATATCTAACAAACCTTCTGTGAGCTTATGGTCAGCTAAACATGACTTAAATATTCAATTTTAATTAGAGTTCTCTTTACATAATAACTGACTCAGCAGCTTTATTGGACAGGCAATGTGTATTTGCCATTGCTAGGTATAGCTCATGTATATATGCAAAAATGATTTTTAGCAGACATGAAGGTCTGATGGAATCCAGATTGTGCTTACATTTGTAATCAGTTTGTGGTCTGTATTCCCAGGACAAGAGTGTGGAATCCACAGTAAGCAGAAGTGCTATCCTTTAGCATTTGGTGTGCCTGCTGCTCTCATGGTGGTTGCTCTCAGTAAGTTATGTGCATTCAGTGGGTTTAATTTACTAAAGTTGTAGAAAATGATCACTTAGCATCAGCTATGTTTACCAAATCATGTGCAAGGATAATAAAAAAAACAACCTTTTTCTAGATTATATTGGATAACTAAAGTAAACACAGTTTCACACTATTCATTAAGCTAATGAAAACGATAATTATTGATCAAATAGTCCATTTACTGATATACATTTCTGAGAGATACAATTTCTTTGCACAAATAGTTGTTATATCAAATTATCATAATGTTTTTAAACTGCAACATCCAATATACAGTTCAATATACAGTTATGTTTTTGGAATGCAACATTCAATATACAGTTCAACATTCACTATACATGGGGGACATTTACCAAAACCTTTTTTTTTTTAAATACTGTACAAAGGGGAGATGATCCTTTTACTGCAACTTCAAGGGTGACATTGAAAAATCCTTTAAATGTAATGCTTGGGAGATGGCTTTAACCTATGTGGTGTTATAGAACAGTACAATTTTTAGGGACAGCTTCAGTGAAACCGCATTTTGTATATGTAATTTTATATTTTAACTTGAAAACCAGACTCTTTTAAGTAGTTAGGTAGTTTGAAGTGGAAATAGGCCTGAATTGACCAGTGGAAGTAGCAGCCACAAAAGATCTAAAAGCAATAAAACTACAGTATAGAGCCCAACAGTTCAGAGATCCAACAATCCTTTTTAGAACTACCTTTCCATGTGTCTCAGCAACAACTATAGATGCTGACTGACAGCCCCCCCTGCTTTTTTTATTGGGGTTGTTTCAGACACATGCAAAGCCGCCCTTTGTTTGCAGCACGTCACCGCATACTTGTGTGATGTGCACCAAAGCACCACACATGTATTTATTTTTGTCATAGCTACCATTAAATTAGGCAATCCCCTTTACTGAAAATAGAAATGTTTGGTTTTGCATGCAGAGGTAGTAGGGGGTGAAAATCAATTGTCAGGTTTTGCATACGGAGGTAGTAGGGGCAGTTCTGCAGGACAAAGCAGTGGTTGGGCCACACCATCTTGAGGCAGGGCACCTGATGCATATTATCACAGCAATAAGTCAGTCAAGTTCTATGCAATGGCAATAAAATTGTATCATCTGAATTTTCTGTTTATAAAATACGTTTTTTCCCCCTTCCAGTTGTATTTATTGTTGGCAGTGGAATGTACAAGAAAGTCTCCCCTCAGGGCAATATCATTGTGAAAGTTTGCAAGTGCATTTCTGTAAGTAAATAACGTTTATAATATTAATAATAATAATAGTGATCTCCAAACAAAACCACATAATTATTAGTAAATATGATTTCTATTAAAGCCATCCTATGTTACACATGGCACGGGTCTATGGATTGGAACTTATTTGTTTGTGTGCTAAAATTCACTACTGTCTCTTGTTCTAATCATTTCTGCTGTGTATTTTGTAAGGGGAGATAAAATGGACTTTAGCATCTATGTAACACTAATCTGTGAAACCTCTCAACAGTTTGCCATCCGTAATAGATACAGAAATCGAAGCAAATCAATACCTAAGAGGGAGCACTGGATGGACTGGGCACAGGAAAAGTATGATGTAAGAAAACGACTCTCTAGATTTTCTAGGCACTTTTTATTTGTAAACACATTTAAGGCCACATTCAGGCTAGGTTCACATCTGGGCGATCGTGCACAGGATCGCGTGGATTGGCGGGCGGTCACAGAGTCGCCCACTACAGCCATTCGCAAATTATTTTCTAATGGCACCCCAGTCGCGCAAGACAGATCGTGCAGTTTCCCGCCGCGATTCTGCCAATGCAATTGAACACGATCGCGGCTAAAAAGGTAATCAATGGGGCCGCGCGGCAATCGCTTTGTGCACCCGAACATGATTGCACGTCCCGGGATCGGTCAGATCTGAACCTAGCCTAACATGGACATGCTTAGGCATACAGAGTGCAGGAACCTGCGGCCGCTTGTACATCTCAATGACAGGATGCGGCTGCATGCTGGGGTTTGGCTTTCAAATTGACAGCAGATTACGTCAGGAGAGATACTGTCCTAGTGTAACCTGTAGAAGTGGCAGGTCCACAGCCTCATATCCTTCAAAGATATGTACATGCATATCAGTTCTACTTTTTTAAACAACTACATTCTATCTGTCTGTTTGATATATTTCACTATATTGTCTTAAAGCTGAACTCCAGGCAGATGTATAAAACACAAATTAAATCAGCTCTTTATTCATTAATAGATCATTTAATGTATTTTGTAAATGCAAGTAGTGTAAGTATTGAATTTGACTCACTATCGATGTCTTGCGGTCTCTTCCCTGTACACGTGAAACAAGCCTGGAGGAGAGAGCAGAGTGACAGACAGCTAAGATTATCAGTTTGCTGCTTCTTCTTTCACTATCCAGATCTGTAAGTGTTAATTACCTGCAACAGAGAACAACCTGCTCTTCTCTCCTGCCAGACAGGGTTGTGCTGTGTGGCAGAGCTGTGTAAATCTCAGGACATGATAGGCAGAAATGCAAATCCAGGTAAAATAGCTTCCAGATTTGTATTACACCTATGTATTTAGCCATTTGCCTGGCGTTCAGCTTTAATAATCTATTTTACTTTTAAAAAATTAGAGACTATGTTGCCACACAATGGACCAATATATTACACTTTGGTATAATGCATATTTTGCTATTTTTTCCTTAGGGGCTTCTTATTGCTCAGGTTAAGATGGTACTGAAGGTCTTGTTCCTGTACATTCCTCTTCCAATGTTCTGGGCTCTTTTTGATCAGCAGGTAATTTATGAAAGGCAATAATAGTATACAATTTGCTTATGTTGGGCACAGCATAATATTCAGGCAACAGTGTATACATTCATCAACACCACATGCAGATGGCTATGAGTTTATCTAGTAACAAAGGCCAGTTTACATAAGAAGGGAGTACATTTTGCTATATGGTATGTGTCGCTGCCACATCCAGTTTTATGCTATATAGAATGTGCTCTCCAACATCTCTAATGTAAGTCTGCCAATCTTATCTTTAAAGGGCTCAAGATGGACTCTGCAAGCCACCGCTATGGATGGAAACTTTGTAAGTAACTAACATTTTGATTGGTATTTGCAGTCACTGTGTCCGGAGTAGTTTTCTATATGGACAACACTAAGGAGCTTATTCACTAAGCTGTCGAAGGCAGCCAAATGAATAACTGAGCCCAAGTGAAAGGAGAAAAAAACCTGTCCGCCTATTCACTGCAGCCTTTTACAGCTATTCTTAGCCGTACATCGGCTGCATTTGGCTCACTTCGGTTCGGCCGAACAGCCTCAGCACATTAGGCCGAACCGAAGGGAAGAGCCCGTTCGCCTCAGCCGATGCAACATCTAGATAAGCTGAGGTGAATGTTCGGCAGTTCAGTTTCTGCTGTTCACCCCTATTCTCCAAGGGGTGGAACAGCAGAGAGTGAAATGCTGAATGAAAACTGTCAATATAAACAAAAGAAAACACAGCGTGGGGTCCCCTCCCTAATTCATACCAGACTCTTTAGGTAGGAATTTTAAGGGGAACCCCAAAAAATAAATTTAACGAGCAGTAAAAGGGGGGGACGAGCGAGTGCCCCCCTCCCTGCACCATACTAGATGCCCTCGACATTGGGAGGGTGCATTGTTGGGGGGGCCCTCTGGGGGCCATGCCGAGGAGGAAAAGGGCCTCTTCCCCACAACCCTGACCCGGCGGTTGTGGGGGCCTGTGCTCGGATTTGTAGGTGAACCCCACGCTACTTTCTTTTACATCGGGGGTCCCCCCTAACATTCCTACCAGACCTAAAGGGTCCCGCTGTTTGTTTTTTTAAATTCAATTTTCTGACACAAGCACCGGCTGTTTGTACGGCTTTGCCCGGCTGTTTACTTTGGCCGGTGCACGTGCTGTTGAGAATAGCGTGTACCGCAGCCCTTCGGTTCAGCCGAAGCAAGATGAAGGTTCGGCTAGATACTTCGGCTCTTTAGTGAATAGCCCAGGGCCGGTGCAAGGATTTTTGCGCCCCCCCCCTCCCGCTTCTAACAGTACGTAGAACCGCAAAATATGTTGAGCAGGACCATAAACTAACACTAACCGCACTCCCTTTCCACTAACACTAACTATTCTCTAACACTGACTGCACTCCCTATTAACCAACACTAACTATTATTTAACACTAACTGGTTAAATAATTCATAGTACAACTACATGTTATGTACTATGGATCATGATTGAACCTATTCATGTTAGCAGCGAAGAATTGTAAATCTATTGCTGGAGTGTGGTGGAGGTGTGTGTTGTATATATGTACTACATATACATTACACACGTCCAGTACACTATAGCAGTAGATTTACAGCCAGTCCCGTCCCAGCTTCCCTCACAGTTTCACTCCGATCCTTGTTGCCTCTTGTAGTCGTCGCTGGGCAGGATCGCTGCATCGCGTCTCGGTGCTCAGCTTGTGGGAGGCGCTCACAATTCTGCCCTGCTAACATGAATGGGTTAAATCATGATCACATATACAGTACGCACGTCCAGTACACTGCAACAATAGATTTACAATTATCCTCGGCTAACATGAATGGGTTAAATGATCGATAGTACATAACATGTAGTTGTACTACGGATCATTTAACCCATTAATATTAGCAGGGGATAATTGTGAATCTATTGCCGGCAGTGTATTGGGAAGGTGTACTGTATATATGTACTACATATAGGGTATACACTGCAGACAATAGATTTACAATTATCCTCTGCTAACATGAATGGGTTAAATAATCCGTAGTACAACTACATGTTATGTACATATTATGTACCGTACTATAGATCATTTAATCCATTCATATTAGCAGAAGATAATTGTACATCTATTGTCTGCAGTGTGTACTTTATATGTAGAACATATAGAGTACACACTGCAGACAATAGATGTACAATTATCAACTGCTAATAATCATTAGTTCAGACCCCCCTTGCCCTCACTCACTGCTCGATGAAGGTGCCTCGCTGGTTGTAGCCCTCAGCGGCGCGTTGTGCTGGAGAGCAGCCGCGAGTCAGCGCTGGTCCGGTGGGAGGAGCTCCAGCTAGGGTCCTAATTTAGCTGGCCGGCGACTGCCAGAGGTACCGCGCGTGTCGGGATCCTCTGGCAGTCGCCGGCCACCTGGCGCTCCTCCCACTGGACCAGCGCTGACTCGCCGCTGCTCTCCTGCACCGAAGGTAAGTGGAGAAAAAAAAACACTGCAAGCATAGGGGCATTTTGACAAGTATGAGTACTTGCCAAAATGCCCTGTTTTTTCGGCCCTCACAATTTAGCGCCCTCAGGCGGCTGCTTGCCTTGCGGTAGCGCCGGGCCTGAATAAGCCCCTAAATGTTATAAATGTAACATGAGCAATACATTTATCTTGTACAACTTTATCTCTTTTTAGGGGTCTATACAAATTCAACCAGATCAAATGCAGGTAAGGTAGTACTCCAGTGATTCTTCCTAATAAGTATTTGGAACTCCAATGTCATATGTACTAATAATAATTAATTTTTTATAGACTGTCAATCCAATATTGATAATTGTCCTCGTTCCCATTGTTGATGTTGTGATTTATCCTTTAATAAAGAAATGCAAGCTGAACTTTACGTAAGTAAATAGTTAATTATATGATTAATCTGTCATTTATATAAATTTGTCTTATGATATAAACTAAAGTTAAAGCCCAAGTTGAAACCCTTGTGAGTTCACTGTTGCTGTCGGTGTCCCTGTGTCATTCTTGATATGACAGACTAGGAATTAAGATAAAATCTCCCCACTTCCTGCTTATATGGCAGGTATCAAACAAAACAGGAAGTGAGAGAAAAATCCTCCCAACAGAAACAAAAGCAGCAATAAAGCAGAAAATGGTAAACTTATCTCTATGCCAGTATACACATGGGTGAGCTTTACCGAACTCCCACAAACCTTTAAAGAATGCATTCAGGCAAGACTCCTCATAGAATGCACTTGGAAAAAACAAGCATCTAGCCCTGTAAACTGCTAGTAGGACCTAGACTATCCAGGAAGTGATGGATCAAATGGAGGCCTCATGTCCTCTGTTCTTCCTGTAAGAAATTACAAACAGTTGGATTGAGACTGTTGCCTGAATATCTACACATACAATTTCTCCCATATTTAAAGAATGCACTTCTTGCATCTCTAAATGTAGGCAAGACCAGTTCTTAATTTAAATGAAATCTTGGAGACATTAGGTAAAAGGTTCAACATAGGTATTAGGCTAACTGCCCGAAAAAAAAGTAACAAACAGGTCTCTACAGCCTTAGGTCTACAGTTTCGACACACATCCCATAAGTAATTGTGATTAGAAAGGCCACTTGGAGGGTCACATTTAACAAAAGTACAATTTTGGTTGTATTGGAAAGATGGTTCAGAAAGATACTTCAAAACCAGTGGCAGATACAACTTTGGGTTCGGATGTCAAGGTGGTCTCAGCTTTCTTGCTCCCCACAGGATTTGGCTCACCAGTTCTCTTGTGCAGCCCATTGAATCATTGTGAAGGTGGATAATGCTGACACATGCACCATCAGACACAGCAGACCGACTTTTGTCAAAACTTAGCTGCAGGTACTCTTCAGATTCTCTTGAAGATCTCGTCGAATACTGGGCTTTCTGGCAGTCATCAAAGTTCTGATGACCTTATTAGAGCATTAGACTTCTATGAGTCTCTCTCTGAACATCTAGATTCTAGACCATTACACACAGTTGTACTGAAGGGTGGTTCCATGGATAGATGCTCCCACTTGCTTTCTGAGACCAGGATGTAGAGGTACTTGAACGGGGTGCTGCTGACTGTTGTGCGAAAGGAGGGAACACCAGGGCCACTGTAGCTCAAATAGAATCCCTGACAATATCAAGGCTTTCTCTTGACATAACCTGGTGAGGTACCTTGTTATTAGCAGCACTAGGGGGAGGCATAAGCTGTTGTGAATCTCCGCTAAGCCATCAATCTGCACTGCTTGGGAGCAGGGGAACTTGAAATAGAACCTGTCTAGCTGAAGCGAACAGATCTACCTCCAGGTGAAACCGTGTCTGGACTATCCACTGGAATGTTTCTGGGTCCATTTGTTTTGTCCTGCACTGGTCTGGAGAGCATATTTGGTTACACATTCTGACTTCCTTAAATACACATTGCTGTGATATTCTGTAACAACCTCTGCAACCTAACCTCTTATCTGGTCGCTATCCTGAAAGAGAGATTCACTTCATGTGCAGCCTTCTTTCTGATATAGGCCACTGTCATCCTGTTTTCTTTTTTAAATTCTTTATTTTTATTTTTTTGTTATTTAACAGTACATACAAAAACACACAGTCAGTAAGGTACATACACATGTAAACGTAACAAGCAAATATTGATCCCTTAGTCCCAGTCGCCTAAATAGCAAAAAGCCAGACAGTGACATTATAATATCATCCGCGCCCGCAGAGCTTATGTGGACAATGCATCATAAATCCCATATTAACTATTGAGCGATGAACATTAGTTTCGATAGGCGGAGATGGTTAACCTAAGGGGTCTGCTATTCGTCATCCTGTTTTCTAATCTATGTGTAGTAACTATGATCTATGTAGTGGGGAGCAAAGTAAGCAGAAGAGATTTTATTTGTGTGTCCAATACCAGAGGCACTGCTTCATTCTTTTGAAGGAAGTCCATTGTGTCCTTGACCTTGGAAACATAGGTCAGTTATTACAACTGACAAGACTTTTTTAGATCTAATCTTTTGTTAAATGACAGTTCTCACAGCTTAATGACACCAAATTTGATAGAAAATAGCGGGGTAGTAGCAGATTTAGTTGTGTTATTTGTGAGTTCTTATGTCCTAACATTGTATTGCTATTTGTCTGTATTACCTCTGCAGCCCTCTGAAGAGGATGACAGTGGGAATGTTCCTGGCTGCCATGGCTTTTGTTGTCGCCGCAATTGTGCAGATAGAAATAGATGTAAGTAATGTGTGTTGTGAAAGAAATATGAAATGTGCACAGGAATATGATGTCCAGTACTTTACTGTATTAGGCTTTAGCACAACGGTTCTAAAACATGTCCTGAGGCTTCATCAAAAGGGCATTGAGTAAACACAAATCTCTCTAATTGAGTTTCCTGCAAAACATGCACTTTTGTTGGGATTTGGGGTTACCACCTTATACCATTAAAATCAAACAATATGATTTACACAGCTTCAGTAGCTAAGTACAGTAGTATTAGATTCACCACTGCCTTAGCTCCAATTAACTGGCCATGTAACCTAACCGCTATTCATATGTGTTATGCTTTAAAGGGATGAATTGTTAAACATATTGGGACTAGGTGAATAGTTTCATATAATGTTGTTCAAGAAATGCTGAAACTATGCTAAGTTCTGAGTTCTCTCTCATCAATTGCACTCTTAAGGTATGTGAGAGATAACAAGTGCGCACAGGTTGGAATTGGGAATACTTGGCCTGTGTTTGTCACTGTAGTTACCAGCTTGATTTCCTTCCATGCTGAGCCCCTCACTAACCCCACCGTATACCTACATTTTTACTCTGAAATTTGGATTTACAGAAAGCCAGAGCTCAAAGCAGACACTTCATAAAAATAGATGCCTGCTTTACTGATAGTATAAATGGCTTAAAAAAAGCCATTGAAAAATAAAGGTTAACCCTCCCCCAAAAGAAATATCGTACCTTGACCCGGTTTCTGACTTCACTAAGGGCATCTCCCAGGAAAGCTGGGCTCTCAAAATTCACACGAGAATGTTTTCCAGTCCAATGTTTCTAGTCACCTAACATTGTATCTCTGATTTAAAAAATCCAAAAACAGGGGTGGGAGCAGCTTGCATTTTCTATAGCAGGTGTACAGGCCTCCAGAGGTTAGAGCAAAGATCTCAAAATCAGAGTTCCCAATGGATGAAAGAGACAATAGGTGCACTGGTGGAGCGACCAGGGTCGCAGCGGTCGCAATTGCGACCGGGCCCTGGCGTTCCTCCTGTTGGGGGCGGGGGCCCGGGGAGGAAGCAGAGGGCCCGAAAGTGGGAGAGTAAGAAGCTGCTGCTGGTTTTATATTTATTCACATTATAATGTATTGCTGGGACTTGTAGTCCTGCATAGTTGGAGCTATTCTGCATTACTGTATAATCATTTTACAGCAATTCAGAATAGCTCCAACTATGCAGGACTACAAGTCCCAGCAATACATTATATTAGTTAGTTGGGATGCACCAGTGCCAATACTGAGTTTTTTCACATGTTCTTGTGAAAATGCCCCATACTAAGCGCAGGCAAAATTACCAGGGTCACAAATGCTTTCTGGTGCAGGCGATCGCACCGCGGTGCCATTGACTTTAATGCACCGCCATGCACCCTCCCACCCCAGAACGCAGTGAGCTGGCCAAGTTGCAATACAGTGTGTTCCAGCACTAAATCGGCCGGAACACACTGGAGCTGGTGTGAACTAGCCCTGAAAGTTAAAAAAGAAAACATACTTTTGATTTACTAGAAAAAAAAAGGTATCAAAATCATGTTTTTATTGGGGGGGAGGGGGAGGCCTTAATGGTTTCTTGCACCAGGCCCTGAGGTTTCTAGTTACACCTCTGATTAGGTGGTCTAATGTTTTAGTTTCTATGAAAAACAAAATGATTAGTATAATTTCTTTTTTTTTTTACAGAAAACTCTTCCAAACTTTCCGAGCAGCAATCAGCTACAAGTTAAAGTTATAAATTTGGGAAGTCAAACATTGTCTGTTACTTTTAAAGAAAATGCACCATCTCCTTCTGAATTACCCATAGCATTGGGATCACTAAAGGTATGAAATTACTTTCATTTTACACTCATATACAAAAAAATATAATTTATGTTTAATAATTCTGACTTCTTGATACAGACCAACCCTTATATTAGGGTTATAGGTTAGTAAGACATTTCCTACTGGGGCACTATGGAGTGTGGTCTATATTATTGTCCCAGTTCAATTTAGCACAAGGACTATACAGGTCAACTTTGGCTGCATGTAAAAAGCTAAGTAGCACCAATTCCAGTGAACCCCATGGTGAGGGGTTCCAGAGCTTATCACTGATATGGAGAAAACGTATTTTTTCTCAAAATCCACAAAGTGCTTTTCTAGATTCTGGAGCCCATAGGCTTTGTACAGCTTTGAGTGGAATAAAGGTCAATGTCTTACCTGGTAGCGAGGCCTCATCAATATTTACAGCTGTCCAGGGGCTTATACCGTGTTTCCCCCGAAAATAAGACACTGCCTCAAAAAAACACACTAGGTCTTATTTTTGGGGTAGGTCTTATTTATTTATTTTTTATGTACAACAAACCACACTTATTCATGTACAACAGTCTACATATATTCATGTACAAAAATATGGTGATCAGGGCAATCAGGGGTGCCGTACCTTTCCAAGAGCAATTTGGTAACCGGAGTGAGTGAAGGCACTTTCACTATCGATTCCTCACAGGCGGAGTGCATTTGGTATCACTCCGCCTGTGACAGGAGGCGGCGCTATAGAGGAAGCCTCGGCTTATGCGGCTCTGCTCCCTCGGCTGCCACCTCACTTCCTCTAGTGCTGGCTTCGTTGGCACCGATGATTCACTCCTGCCTCCCCCGCGGCTCTTCAAGTTCCCCCTTATGCTACCACCGGCCCCGGGAATGGTCACAACTAGGTCTTATTTTCGGGGTAGGTCTTATATTTTAGCAATTCCAGTGATGCTAAGGGCTTTCTTTCTTGATTTTTCTGGTGTGGGAGCCCTTCTGCAATAAAACTGCATTTGTTTGCTGCCTTGCTGAATAAAATGTGAAAGCTAATTCTTCCTATTTTACTATAATACTACACTGCAAGTTTACACACTCTTACCTAGTGTTTTTATGCTATGTCTGCACTATTTGCTTTAACATGCTCTTTTTAAGTCTAAACACCTGGTCTTGAAGTGGTTAAGGAAAAAGATTTGCATCATTATTGGAGTCAATGATGGAGAAAGATCTGGGTGTTCTGGTAGACCATAGAGTGAATAATAGAATGTGATGTCAAGCTGCAGTTTCTAAAGCAAGCAAAATCCTTTCTTGTATTAAAAGGGGTCTAGACTCCAGAGATAGAGACATCATTGTGCCCCTGTACAAAGCATTAGTAAGACCTCATCTGGAATATGCAGTTCAGTTTTGGGCACCAGTTCACAAGAAGGATGTTATGGAACTAGAGAAAGTGAAGAGAAGGGCGACTAAACTCATAAGAGGCATGAAGGAGCTCAGCTATGAGGAAAGATTAACTGACCTGAATTTGTTCTCTCTGGAGAAGAGGCGATTAAGGGGGGACATGACCACTATGTATAAATACATAAATGGTCCATATAGTGAGCTTGATGCCAAATTATTCACTTTAAGGTCACTGCAAAGGACGAGGAGACACTCTTTGCGTCTGGAGGAAAAGAGGTTTAACCTTTGCATAAGGAAAGAATTCTTTACAGTTAGAGCTGTAAAAATCTGGAACAGACTCCCCCAGGAGCTAGTTCTAGCTAGCTCAGTTAATTGTTTAAAAAAAAATCTGGATGTATTCCTAAATCCACAGAATATTACTGGATATTGATTTCTTATAAGTATAATAAGCACCAGAGATTGTTGATCCAAGGAATATCCAATTGCCCAATGGGATCAGGAAGGAATTTTGTTTCTCCTGTTGGAGCAAATTGAACCATGCTTTATAGGGTTTTTTGCCTTCCTCTGGATCAACATTGGGTAATTGTGGGCATATCGTTCTGTTTAGGTTTTTCTTCTCTTTTTTTTCCTTCTCTCTATAGGTTGAACTCGGTGTCTTTTTTCAACCTGACTAACTATTTAACTGACTAACTAACTAACTGACCTTTTTAACTATGCATCTCATATCTACTTCTCTACTGTGTATTAGGGGGCTATATTATACAGTATATGATATAAAAATACATAAATGGCCTTATTCAGTAATCCAGTGCACGCAGCAAAGATGATGCACAAAATGCTGTAACCCATAACAAACCACCATATTTTTGGGGAAAAGTAGTGAATGTAGCAAAATCTGCGACATGCATTCTGCATATTTTTTAACCCATACAAATGTGGAGGAGGATGATGCGTGTACTCCCGGCCGCGTTTGGTGTGCCATTTACTAGTAATGGCATCGCAAACGCTTTTTACATTTTTATGCGTGTTTGACGCGCGTTCCCACAACCCCTAGGTGTGAACCGAGCCTCTCTGGCACCCTCCTCAGCTTTAGACAATCACCTTTCTTTCACTTCCCTGCCATTCCATTTTGCCATGGGGAGTGAAAAGAGGATGTGACTTGGAGCTTATACAGGACCAAGGACTCTTCTCAAGTCACAGAAATGAGCAGCCAATCCCCATGTTCTACTTGGTTGTTTGGCAATACTATACCATTGCACGTTGCACCACCTTTTACAAGGGTTATTATTTAGCCTTCCAATTTGTACAGCTTTTCTGCAACATAGGTATTATGTTATCTTCCACTGACAGATGTGTACATATTGTGATCCTTTTAAACAAAAATAGATTTACTTAAAAAAAATACATAACTCTTTGAATAGCGCATGCATATTATCTTTTCGAGTCATATAAAATACTGTTTTTTTTCTTTGCTCTCAAACATTATGAATATATTTACCTATAATTCTCATTTTTATTTAGGCACATAACTACGAGACTCTTCAGATTAATAGTGAAATGAATGTGAGCTACGGAAATAGAAGCAATGTTTTAGGTTTTGCTGATTTCACAGAAAAGGTCAGATACACCTATATCATCTCAGATCAAGGTGAACTACAAACAGACTGGGTAGGTAGCAAACAAAACCTGTTCCGAGAGAAATATTTTGGCTGTGTTTGCTGACCTTTCCTTCAAAAAATCCTAAGTGCTTGGCTGTCGTGCTGATCCAGACACTTCAATATTTTCAGTTACTGACCTGGAACAAGTATGGATATGAGGAGTTCTGGCTTTACTTGCATCATGGCTGTTCCAACCCATGCTACCTTCTCTTCTCTCACCCATCGCTCCATTCTCCCAGGGAAGCAGAGTGATATATTGGTATGGGGATCATGTAACTCACTCTCCTTCCTTACACATGACAGTGCTGGTGCCCTGAAAAGAAAAAAAAAAAACACAGGTTCCCTTTAAGAATCCAAATCCTGCATTTACATTAAATGTCCGCATCTATTTGTGTCAGTATATTTTACAGTCAAGCTATAGGACAAGTATTGCAGGTATTTCTGAATTTGGTTAAAGTAATTAATTGGAAGAAACAGGGAGGGAGTAATAGGGAGATGCATTGTTCTCTCTCTATTTGTCCTGCACACTCTATGGGAATCCAAAAAGATTTATATTACTAAATCCATCACTTAATAACATTTCTTGACATCTGTGTATGCTCAGTGCATTGGGTAAATTGATGATTATTTTTATATAAAAATATATTTCTAGAGTTTAATGAAGCTATGTGAATTGGATTCTTAGCCATATTTATTGATAATATTTTATTATCAATAAATAATATTAATTATTATTTTATTCAAAGCAATTTCATACTTTTTTATTTTATAGTTATATTATTTTGTACTTGTACTATGTACTATACACGTGTGTCAAGTGTGATGGTCATTTTAATACAGCGTCTTCTTTTCCATGCAGGCAGAAGACATAAGCCAAAAACCAGAACAGGGAGATAATGCTATCAGGTCAGTTTTTTTAAAACTCTACTATATATCTATTGCCAAAGCCATCAGAATTAGTTTGAATATGTTACATGTTGAAGATATTTGTATATTTGTATGGTCTGTCCCTCGGCCCCTTCTATTCTCTATCTACACTTCTTCCCTGGGTCAATTGATAGCCTTCCATGACTTCCAATACCATCTTTATGCTAATGACTCACTGACTCAACTTGGATGTCACACCACTACCTCAAACTCAATCTCAAAAACTCAATCAGTCAAAACTGAGCTTATAATATTTCCTCCTCTCCGTGTTCCCTCCCCCAACTTCCCATCACATTTAACAGCTCTACAATCAACCCCTCCCATGAAGCCAGGGTACTCTGTGTAATCCTTGACTCTGAGCTCATCTTTCAGACCCACATCCAGAATGCAGCTGCCAGACTCATTCACCTTACCAACCTTTTCTGTCAATCCCTCTACTGGCTCCCAACAAATAAAATTCAAAATACTAACAACAACATATAAAGCCATTTACAACTCCGCCCCAACCTACATCACTGACCTCATCTCAAAATATCACCCAAACCGTCCTCTCCGCTCCTTTCAAGACCTTCTGCTCTCTAATTAGCTCCTCCCATGCTCACTTCCAGGACTTCTCCAGAGTGTCTCCCATCCACTGGAACTCCTTACCCCAATCTGTCCGGCGATCCTTAAAGACCCATCTCTTCCGGGAAGCCTATCTCACTTTAACATAACTCCCCGTTTACTTCTTCCAATAACTCAATCTAAACAATTACCGTTTGTATCACTTGCCCCTCCTACTAGATTGTAAGCTCTCACGAGCAGGGCCCTACTAACCCTATTGTACTGAAATTGTATTGTATTGTTAATTCTATTGTAACTGTACTGTCTCCTCCATTTTGTAAAGCGCTGCACAAATTGTTGGCGCTATATAATAATATTCTCTCTGAGAGGTATTGAACACCTTTAAGGGTTAAACATTACTTAGCATGCATACAAAATTAACATACAAAATAAATCTGACACTAGGTCAGCTTTATGGTAACATGCATCACTGGAGTGTAATTAAAATTGAAGTCCAATCATTCTTAACAATTAGGTCTGCTACATCTATTACTAAGGTTCAGTATTATACCATATGTATATAATGCATATGATTGATACTTAAAAGGTATAGTTACACTGCATGGGCATGGCATTTAAACAACTTCTGATAAATACTTGAAATTAACAACACCTTCCTTCTTGCAGGTTTATTAATAATCTTCAAGAAAGCATCAACATAACAGTAACTGGTACAAGCCTTGGTGAAATTCCACCGTTCAGCTTTTCCAATTACACAATGCAAAAGTTGGGAATGTGAGTACATTTGTTTTATATCTACATAACTGGAAGCCACATAAGTATAAGATACGTTTAAGAGTCTATTTTAATATAACTGAAGCTATTTGACATATTTCTCTGCAGGATAAAACAGTAAGATACACATACCAATCCCTGCGAAAAGAATATGTACAATAAATCAATGTTTAGTATATTATTTGGTCATTGGTTTAAATCAGTGGTTCTCAACCTGTGTAACCTCAGGACCCACATTTGTCCTTGGTCATTAAGTCGCGACCCAAATCGCACGGCATTGCGGTAATGCGCGTTCCGGTGCGGGCTATCGAACTGTGGGTGGGAGTTGTGTTTGGGGTACCATTCAAACGAAAGGCAACGCAACATACCTCCCACACCAGAACACAGTTATGATTGCGTGGTACAGTGCGGTACTCTGGTCCAGGCACCTCTACAGGACACATGATGGAGCTGTAAGCAATGCACGTATGGATGGGGCTCCCTCGCGGCCATAGCCCCATCCTATCCCACCTCAAGTTGACACTCGATGCTGGGCAGCATATTCTGAATGGCTGCTTGGCGGGAGAACTGACAGTGCTGCGCTAGGGGGAGGCAGAGGAGCCTCACACCTATAAAAGTGGAGGGCATGCAGCAACCCACTGAAAATGGGGTCGCAACCCACATTTGATTCATGACCCACCAGATGAGAACCAAGGGTTTAAATTCTTTATCCAGTCAAAACCTTTTGTTGTTGTTTTAGTTAGCATGGCAAAAGGTCAGAATCCCTGTTGGGTTTTACTGCTATCCGGTGGTCCTATAGAGAGATTTACCCTCACTTCCTGGCCTGGTGACTATGTTTTACCAGACAGGAAGTGAGGGTAACTCTCCAACAGCAAAACAAACAGAAATACAAATGCTTTTGTATACTTTTACACTTTAAAGACAAAGACCACCTTTTAGAAAAAAAAAATGTGCACACAAGTATAAAACAAAAATGTGCATTTAATATTCTTTTGCATTAGAGCCAATAGACTAATCGTGGTGCACTGTTCTGGGTCCTGCAGATTCTTCCTCCTGTTCCGCTGGAGATGTGACCATGTTTCATGTTATGTCCTGAATATGGGTGTATCAGGAAACTTGTTTTTTTTTTTTAAATTATTTCCGTTTATTGGGTTTTTCAAATGACATACATATTACACAGTACAGTACCAGGGGAAAACCACCTCGAGAAAGATCTGTCTGCTCTCCCTGGAAGGAAACTTGGTTTTAAAAGTAAACTTAGCCTTTAAGTAAACAAATGGGACGAATCTTATGGTTTTTGTTTGCCAATATTAAATGTTTTGTTTAATTCGTTTTGTGCTTGTGTTGACTGTTTTTGTTGTACAGGAAAAAAATAGAAGGTATTACTGCCAATGGGAGCATGTGCTCTGTGGAATCTTTGAAGTTTGGTTTTGGAAGCTCTTACACAATACTCATTAAGGGAGTAAGTAACTCACATTTCTTGTGTTTCAGCAATGATGAATGAGCGCATGAACTGAACATGTACAAAACAGTTCTGTACAGTACGCGTCTGTTATATCTTTTCTTTTCATGAGTAAATATACCTTTATCATGTAGCGCAAAAAGATTAGCATCACCAATCCCGCCTTGTTCAGCCAATCAGCTACTTTGATCTTTATAAATCATATTAGTTGTAGTAGCAGTAGTAGTAGCATACTTCACATGGCCGCATTTTAAAGCTAAGGTCACATGATCTCAGCTCAGTGAGACTACTTATAAGACTGACATTTAGGCAGAGCTGCCAGTTGACTTCTGATCCACCCATCCAGCAGATATATTATAACCAATACGCTGGTATTTGTCCACATGACTGACAGAAAATGCATTTCAGCACCTCTTTGTAACATTTACCATTAAAAAGGGAGCTGGCTGGAGTGGAGGGGATGGACTAGTATTTTTCTTCTATGATAAGCTCAATAATATAATTTATTTAATTCCATGTTAAAGCCACACTCCAAGAAAAAAGGATCATTTACAAATCGCACTGAGTGCTGAGGGGAGTAAGGGATGCGACTTGAGCAGTGAAGTGATCCAGTCCCATATCCACCCCTGCTCACTACTTACTCATTCACAAAATGTCTTGTATTTTTCTCAAGGAATACAAGGCATTCTGTGATGGGAGGATGAGAGAAGGAGAAGGAGGAGAGAACATTTCACATCCCTGCCCCTTCCTCTTCTAGGTTTGTCTAATTTAAATATAAGGGAGTCATTTTTATGTTTTCTCTACTTAGTGCACAGCGTCCATGAACATAGACTACATTGAAGACATTCAACCCAACACAGTTCACATGGCCCTTCAGATTCCACAGTACTTCCTCATTACTGCCGGGGAAGTTGTCTTCTCAGTTACTGGGCTGGAATTTTCATACTCTCAGGTGAGTAGTATTAAGCTATGTGATTATTATAAAGGTGCCATAAACAAAAGCACAAGTGCAGCAATAAGCATCTAAACAGAAATGGCTGTTGAGTAATGATAAGATTAAAGTGCACTGTAAAAGCACCACATACATCTGCCTAGAACATAATCCTTGTGTATTACTATGAATGCTTTAACAGCTGCCTTGTTTTTATTTGTAGTAGCTTAATCGGATATAATCACTTTAAGCTTGCATGAATTGGTTAATCATGTTAGAAACATGATATACCAGACTATCATAATCATTTTCTACACTCTATAGATTTGATGCATGTAGATATTTTTTTCAATTTCGGTCTGAAAGTGATATTGACATATAGGGGTGTATTAATAAAAATAAGAATTAATTAATGTACCTGTACTTGGCTTCATTCTTCATCTCGTCACTGTGTTTGCCTGATAAAGGGACCATGTTCAGTCCCGAAACAGTGCTTTTACACTGTGCCACCATGTTTGCATAATGTCTGAATAAAAGATCGTTCAACACATTTGACCTTGAAGTGCAGGTGATTTTTTTGGATATTCTTATGATAACAGGGTGCCATCCGCAGGTCATACCAGTACCCACCTATCTTATGGTATCCCAGTCAGGAGTGCTGTGGATTACACAATTACACATTACTGATGTGATGGCTTCAGTCTCATGTACTAGAGCTAGGCCTCTTTTTTTGCTGCACTTTATAAATGTAAACTGTGAGATACTCGCGAATAGCCATTATACAAATATTTCCCTCACAATGAAATGAAAGAGTATGACTTCCTCCAGCCAACAAAAGTAGTTATTACTTTCTTACATATAAAGCTGGCAGCCCATTCCCAGATAACGGTGACAGTGGCTTTCAGGGTGCCATAGAGGTGTTTCTGATCATTTTCTCTTGTCTTGGCAGGCTCCATCCAACATGAAATCTGTGCTTCAGGCAGGATGGCTGTTAACAGTGGCTGTTGGTAATATCATTGTTCTTATTGTAGCTGGAGCTGCAGGTCTCAGTGAACAGGTAAGAAATCCTTTTCATCTGCCTTCATTTTCCTATTCTATATAATCACAGAATGTACTGGATAATTAGTATACCTAACATTTATCCCCCTATGGGGTTTTTGTTCAATGTTTTGTCTGCATCTTAGAAAGGAGCAGAGGAGGGCTCTTAAAAAACAAGGTCCACTTTAAGAACCAAACCACCAGCCATCCACAAAGGCAGGGTTTTATATTTATATATCAACAAACAACAATTGTACCTAAATCTGTAGTAAGGCAACTCATGGAAAAGCAGAGCTTCCTATTTTTCGTTATCTTCGCCTTTATTAGATAGATATTGACATTTATTGGACAGCTCAGCCATCAACCTTCCATGCAGGGGGGTACTTGTGTCCTAACAGTTGTAGTATTATTGGGATGCCATCATGGCCGCAGTGAGATGATATGTTGATGCTAGCCATTCTAACATCACCATGAATGTAAATTTGGAGTCTCAACATGTTGTCCTTGAGCTAAGTTAGAATTCCAATGTACCATTTTAATAAGAAGTGTTAAGACTGCTCAAGCAGAAAAACCATACTTGGAAGCAGGGTTTTAGGCCCTCCTTTGATGCAAGGTTCCTGCTAGGGTTCCATAACGTTTCAGCTCTGAATGTATCTGAGTCTCCGTTTGACCCCTTAAGTTCTGCCATTGCTTTTTGCTCCTGATTATCTCTTCAAAGTTAGAATTCAAAGTTAGAATTCAAAGTCAGCTTCATTGAAATGGTAGAGCTCTGCATCATTAAAATATATCTGAATGTATCTAAATCGAAAAACAAAAATGTGATATATTGCAGCTTTCCAGTCCATAGACGTGCTGGATTAATTCTCCATTTCAAGGCTTTTTTTCTTTTATTTTCACCTAATGATCCTGCCAGTAACACACGTCCTGTCTTTGGGTCATAACATTCATTCACTGCACTGTAAATATGGAAAAGCAGTGTTGTCACCCTAGGACAGAAAATGAGTTATAGAAAAAATTGAGGATACAAGTCCTGTGTGGCCGCGCTCTCCTGAGGGGTGGGGGGTTGTTTTAGAAGAGGGGATCTGACTTATCAGAATTTTTGGTTGAGTGGGGGCTGTATGGGGGAGGATGGTGTGGAGGTGGGGGTGGCGTGCGGCTTCAGATCAAAAATGGACCGGGGTGTCCACTTGGTATGGGTGTGAAACAGAAAAAAACAACAGAGTCTGAGGCGCGACTGCCCTTGGAGATTAGGACAGGTGAAGGTATAGTGAGAGTTAAATGGGCTGAGGCCTGCAGGTAGATGCTGCCCGGGAAGCAATTTTTGTTAATATTTTTCCTCCCGCAAGATGTTCAATATCAGGGGTGGAGGGAGAAAATAAAAACAAAAACAAACGAGGTGCACATGAAATAGAGGCAAGTAGAACGGTGTGTGGTGTATATATCAACTCACCGCGAGGTTCTTTAGGAGGTGTAATCATCGATGACGGGATTCCTGTTGGGGGTAGTGTCCGGCAGCCTCTTCGGGACTGGGTGCAGGGATTTCAGATGCTGGGTCGAGGTATGATTGGCATCAGATGTCTGCGTATGGGACGTGCTGCTGGACTGGGTGGTGATGATCATAACTCATTTATAGTCATAAATGAGTTATGACTATAGAACACATCCCCCTCTTATTCTTCATAACATTAGGGGAGGTGTTATTTAGCCCACAGAGACAACTGGAAATAATACTGATGACTTATCAAACAGATATAATAAAACAATGGTAATATTTAACAGTTCAAAGGGAGAAAAGTCACTATTTTCATAATTTCATGAACATTCATGGGTTAATTGATAGGGTTTGCACACAATTGAAGTTAATTAGGAGGTCTCTGTAATATGTAGCTTAATATACTTTTCCTGTTATAGGTTTTCTGTTTCGTAAAAAAAACAGACCGGGTCACACTGTAGTATAAATCACTGGTACTTTTTCTCTTTACTGTATATTCCATTCTTGTTTAACATATTCTTTCTGGTTGCCTTTACAGTGGGCAGAGTATATTCTCTTTGCTGCTCTGCTAGTGGCGGTATGCATAATTTTTGCTGTTATGGCCTATTTCTACACCTACGTTGATCCTGCAGTGATTGAAGCCCAGTTTGATAGTGATGGGAAGAAAAAGAAGGAGAAGGAAAAAGAAGCTATAGGATTTGAAATGGGAGATGGACCTCCAAAAAAAACCAAAATGTAAATGTACTTTGCTCTTTTCTGGCTATGTAAATATTGTACTCAAGCCATTCGGGCCATTGGACAGTAATCAACAACACTGTTGGCAGATGCTGCACAAGTATCATTTAGAGGAAGGAGAACTGATGGGAGCTGCTCAACTTTTTATCAACTGCATTAGGTGAAACAGCCCACCTCTGGAGATTCAAAGGTTGCTAAACATGATACACAAGTTGTCTTAATCAAATCAGGTGTTCATTTATAAAGGATTTTTTTAGTAAGGCAGTACAAAGATTTCAGCCTATACGATCTATGTTTTCTGGTGTCAGATAAATAAATTGTTTTATTTTAAGTAGTTATTTTGGGTGTTTTCTATTTGTAGGATGTGCTTCTTTTTAAATAAACCCAATAGTTTGTGTATGTCACTTAAGCAAAAGCAAGGCTAGCTTAAAGTGACACTATACTCAGAAGGTAAATCTTAAAAATGCATTAAAGTACCTTAACTATTAACAAATATGTACAGTATCTTATTTGTGTAACACTCGGCTGTAGATCCTCAAATTATCACTGTATTGGATCTGACACTGTCCTTCTTTCTGGAGGGTCCCCGTGTGTGTTGTAAAGTAGCCACCACTCCAAGCTCGCTCCTGTGATGGACTACAATCTCATGCTTATTATCATGTTTACTAATTTGTATTGAGATTGTACAGAAGCAAGCAAGTTTGGAGAAGTGTTTACTTTGCAACGAAACTCAGGGACCATGGAGAACAAAAGTAGCCACCCTCCAGAAGGAAGGACACTGACAGCACCAATTCAGAGATGATTTGAGGATCTGCAGCCGAGTGATAGACAAATAAGCTACATTTAGAGTTGAATCTTAACAAATGCAAAAGTGTCACTTTGAAACTGTGTTTACTATTGCTATGGAGGCTATAGAGATGACATTCTCCTAATCTGACCTACCGTACTTTTTTGGCTTGATAAGGTGACAATCAAGTTCCTAAGGGCATTCTTAAACTTACATTATCAAGGAAAAAAAGTAAACGGGTATAACATGCACCATGCACAATCGCTATTGTCTTCTCTAACATTTATGGCCAGCTTAACTGAGTGATGTCTAATATTCTATATTACCATCTATTACCAGCCTTTGTCTTTAAGCTTAATTTTCTAAAAATTCCATTACAGTTTTATGTCAAGTATCTTCATTTCAACACGCCTGATTTTTGAAAGTTAAATTTTGTCTTTTCTCATCTACAATAACTTGTGTTTAATGTTTATTGTGCCTTTAAAATTCATCTAAATTGTACTGAAAAAAATCAAGTATCAGTCATTTCAGATAAACTTGTAAAAAAGACAAATAAAATATCTCTTTTATTTTTCTTGTATTGTTTTTTTTCTTGTATTCACACACTGCTGCCTACCAATGCTCTATATGTGTTGGAAGTATGTACTGGTAGTCTGCTAACACTTGACACATCCAAACATAAGAAGTATACCAATACAATATTATCTATTCATCCAAATACTTTGGAATAAAATGTAAAAATAAAAACTATTGAAATAGTTCCCACAGACTACCAGTAAAATACAACTTCAGCCATTCTTTGGTTCCATCAGACTTTCCCAATATAGTAGCTGACCATGTAGGTGACCATGTTCTCACTGTATAATATTTTTTTGGGGGGAGTTTCAGGTCTTCCTCCCCTACATATTTCTGAACTATGCATAGAATTTTTAGTGCTGTTTAAACAACTGCCCCATTCAGCGCCAGTGATAAAACACAAAAAGGAGATGATGCAGATATGATGTTAGGTCAACAATCCTACTGTCAACAGCCAGACCATGCAGTTTTATTGTGTGCATGATGGTGTGCAGAGAATGATGGGAAAGTGGGAATGAGTAAAGACAATTACATACCAATAAGTCAAACACATATGAATATTTATACAAAGGTCACCAATCTTCCAAAATGAAGGCTCCACAGTTCAATGTGAGATCATGTTGTCACAAAAATATTGATATTTTGGGGCCACACAGGATCCTATTCTCAAGGTATTCTGTGTTACCCTGCGCGGTCCTAAAACATCAATATTTCTGCCAGGCACCCCCTCACGGAAGTTTGAACTTAGCTGCATGCTGTGCCCAGGTCATGACCCCTGGGTTCACTCTACATGCGTGTGGAGAGTACCCATAGTCCATAATAGAAGTCACCAGCACTCGATAATAAGTGCAAGAAGTAAAGCACTTTTTATTAAATCGTCACATGCGTCATATAGCCAACGTTTCGGGGCCATGCAAGGTCCCTTCTTCTTGGCGACATAGTGCATGTGGAGAGTATCTATATACATAGGAGACAGGGAAAGATGCTGCGTCCCAGGCAGGGCTGGCAAAGACGGAATGGCGGCAGAGAAAAACGAGATCCAGAAAATGAGCCAAAGGTCAGTGCGAGCAGCAGACAAACTAAATCAGGAGAACTAAGCTGAGTCGGTACATGAGAGATCAGTTCACGGGAAGTCAGGTCAAACGCGCGAAGGAGAGCGCAGAAACAGAATGTTGCTCAAGCAAGCCAAGCTGGTATGAGCAGGAATGAAATAGGGAGAGATAGGAGCCAGGACAGGAAGTAGCAGGAAGCAAGGTATATTATCCATCAGGCAAAACCCATAGCTGCTAACCCTGTGCAGCAAGAGCAGAGCACATATTTGGTTTTTAATTCCCTGGATCCATTACTCCAATGAGGATCTACCTAGAGATGCCATTTCTAGTAAGAGACACATCTACACTACCTAAAATTATTTTGGGTATCACAAACTCCTTTGGCAGAGCACTCTAAACCCCTCAGTGAAATAACTTTTTATGCTGATGCTAGTGAATTAGTGAATTACTCCTTGTTACTAGTTCAGCCCCAGAGATAAAAAAACTAATTAAGCAGTATTGTATATAGATCTATAACAATAATAATAATATACATGAACTAGATCCCTTGTATGTAGCCTGTTTTCTTAAGCAAACATAAGGGTCTATTCACAAAAGAGTGAAGAGTTTGGAGAAGGCAGGAGAAGGGAACAATCTAGGACAACATAGCTGAACTGGAAAGTGAGCTGAATTGGAGAATGTTTCCAAATTGGCTATTTTTCCCTAGATTGTTCACTTCTCCTGCCTTCTCCAAACTGTTCACCCTTTTGTGAATAGACCCCATAGTCTTTTTTAACCTTTTATCAGGGTATATAGGTTCAGTCTCCTTACTAGCCAAGTTGTCTACTTCTGAATCCCCTTAGATTCCCCTATGTCCAGTTTGTAGAAAGATTATATACATGTTGTCTCACAAGGAGACATTAAATACAACCCAGGATTTTGTTACCCCTTGTAGGGGCTGTCTGATGCTGAATGCTGTTATTCAGCTTTCTCTGCTGATATACCCTAATCTTTTTCTAGTAGGAATTTTTCCAAAGGGATACTATTTCATCTGTAAACATGGTAACTATAATTTGACATAATCTTGCCTTTAAACATGGTAACTATAATTTGACATAATCTTGCCTTTATTCCCATTAAACTTTATGTGCCAAGCACTCAAAGAGTAAATTTCACAAATCAAAATAATATTTGCTCAGTACATTTTCCTGGGTCCTGGGTGTGAACCTGAACAAGGAAAAAGCTACACGCCAAACATACCGGAAGGTTTTTTGGCTTCCACCCAGACTGGCCCTGTTGTATGGGTATGTATGTGGTAGGAACATTAGACCCCAAGATTCTGTGAAGCAGAAACACAATTTGATTCATTTCACATATAGAGTTTCCATTCTCACCATTAGATGGCAGCAAATCCATTTTTTATTATGTTCCCTTTGTTATGGGCACGATTGTGTTTATGAGAATACTTTCACCCTGTCTATATAGCATATAGTTTGCCC